GTTCATTCTCTTCTCTTAGCCATTCCAGCCTTTGTATGTGCTACTCTGTCTTTCTGGGATACTTTTCTCCTGGTTATCCAGACATTTTTCAGATTCAGCTGAACTGTCACCCATAAAGCTTTTCCTGACTATCCCCTATAAAGCGGCCCCTCTCACACCCTAGTGATTACACTCTCATCACATGGTCCTTTTCACTTCCATTAGGACACCTATCACTATCTGAAATCATCCAGTATGTTTGCTTACTTGTTTTTGGTCTTTTCCCAAAGACCAGTGGAAACTCCATGAAGGCAGTAACCTTGCCTGTCTTCTTCACCACTGTATCTAATGAGCCTGGATCAGTGATTGACACACAATGGGATATCATCAGATATTTGGTGAATTAATAAGTGAAGAGGCTCAGTGTGTCTGAAGCATAGATTGTAGGGGAGGGAGTGGTGGAGATACTCAGGGATTGGGTCATGGATGGTGTTCACTCATTCTGAAGTATGATCTTAGTCCCTGAAGGATTTAATCAGGGAGTTATATGATCAGATACATACTTGTAAAAGCTCACTCTGGCAGCCCATGGTAGAATGAATTAGAGAGGCATGCTTGGAGGCAGAGGGACCAGTCAGGAGGTTAATAGGGTACTCAGTGAGAAGTGATGAGGACTGAGCCATGGCAGTGGCATAGGAGGACTGTGGGACAGTAGGGCGACACTAAGGAGGAAGAATCTGAAGGAGCTTGGGGCTGGTTGATTCCTGATGGTATGAGTGACTTATGACCTGTGGGATGATAAGAAATCCAGATGTTCCAGAGTGGAGATTTGGTAATGGAAGAACCTCTGTTGGTCGGGGAATTGGAAGGAGAAGAAGACAGAACACTGTGGAGTAAGGAGAGGAGGTGAGAAATGCTGCCTTGAGGGTGCCTTCTCTGATCAGTACATTGGTGTCGCTTTTGATCTTTATGACTTTGATGAGGGGAAGGGTTCGTTGCCAGTTCAGGATTTTGAAACAACCAGACCCCCTAAAATTATTTTTTTTTGCTTTGTGCTATGCACTGTGCTAGGTAGTTTTCCAGAAATGCTATCTAACGTGTCTTTATAATTATACTACCGGTCAGTATCAGCCTCATTTTACAAATGAAAAACTCAAGTCAGCTTAAGTTAAACAGTCAAAGAGACTCTAGCTAGTAAGTTTCAAAATTGGGATTCAAAACCAGATCCTCTAACTCCTAAATCCAGAGTTGTTTCTAGAATGTCATTGCTACTTCTTAATACCTTGAGGTGGAACCAAGTCAGCCAGATTTTGTGCAGGGTAAAGGGAGAGGAGCCAGAATTATGGACAGATTGATTCGATTCCTGTCTCATAGAAGTTTTTGATTGCACATTTGATCCTCTTCCTTTTATGGATGGAGGTTTCCTAGGTGGGAGTTAATGGGCAAATGAATTATCTGTATTTTTCAAATGAACAAAGCCAAGTCACTTGAGAGCAGTGATTATATATCCAGGGACAAGCTGTGAGGTGATGTAGGGTGGGAAGAGATAAAGGTGGCCCATTTGGGCTCCTGGGTAGTTTTAGAAGTCACTGACTGGCCATCCCCAGGGTACTGTCTGCTAATTCTTTTAGAAGTTACTGCCATGGGAAAAGTAGGAGGCAGTGGGTTTAGCGAATAGCTGCAGATTTGTGGCTCCCTCTCTCAGGTAGTGTAGTACTCAAGACATTTGACTGCTAACCAGAAGGCTGGCGGTTCAAACCCACCAGCCACTCCTCAGAAGGAAGGTGGGGCAGTCTACTTCCGTAGTGATACTACCTCAGAAAGCCAAGGAGGGGTCGCTATGAGTCGGGTCCGACTTGATGGCACATAACAACAACAACAACTCTTTGATGATTATACCTTTAAGTTAAGGCTAAAGCCATACTTTCTGTGCTAATTGGAGTGATTTTTTTTTTGTTGTTGTTGTTAAAATAGTAAAGGAAATTAAAATAAAAGGCCTTTGTAACTTTTGTGTATGAAACATCTCGAGCCTGTCAGTACTACCACTGGCCAAATTTCTGGATAATGTTGGTGAAACTGTGGGCAGGCTAATACCTTCATGTATTGGTAGTTTTCCAACAGCTTCATCAACATGGGACCAGAGTTTTCAAAGTAGCTGTCTATTTGAAGTGTTCATTGGTAGGTGACTGTTAAATATATCCATAGGGTGGAACACTATGTATATACTTCTCAGAGTATATCATGACAAAGACACATACACAGTCTCTTATTGAATTGTTGTTGTTATGTGCCGTCGAGTCGGACCCGACTCATAGCGACCCCTCCTTGGGTTTCCGAGGCAGTATCACTACGGAAGTAGATTGCCCCATCTTCCTTCCGAGGAGTGGCTGGTGGGTTTGAACCACCAGCCTTCTGGTTAGCAGTCAAGTGCCTTTAGCCACTATGCTACCAGAGCTCCCCTCTTATTGAATAATAAAAGCAAATTGCACATATATGTTGATAAGTGTGTGGACAAAAAAGATCTGAGCTGTAATTGCCTTAGGGAAGTAGGAGGGAACAGAGGACATATATTTGTTTCCTTTTATGCTTTTTTTTTTTACAATGAACAGATTATTTTTTAGGCTCTTAATCGAAGTATAAACTTGAAGCGTACATATACATATCTTACAAAAAGTATATCCAAAACCAAACCAAACTCACTGTTGTCAAGTCAGTTCTGACTCATAGCGACTCCCACTGGATTATAAAGACTATAAATCTTTATGGAAACAGACTGCCTTATCTTTCTTCCACAGAGCAGCTAGTGAGTTCAAACCCTGACCTTTTGGTTAGCAACCAAATACCTTAACCACTACACCACTGGAGTGCCTCATCAAAATTGTATAGCTTTAGAAAAAACATCTTGATGGTTCAGCAAAAAGTTAGAATTACCATATGACCCAGCAATTCTGCTCCTAGGTATGTACCCCAAAGAACTGAAAACAGGTATTCAAACACATACTTCTGTACAAATGTATATAGCAGCATTCTTAATAATAACCAAAAGGTGAAAAAAACAGCATCCATGAAAAGATGTGATACATATGTACAATGGTATGTTACTCAGCCATGAAAAAGGCAAAGTGCTGGTACATGCTGCAGTGCGGGTGAACCTTGAAAACATTTTGTGCTGGTACATGCTGCAGTGCGGGTGAACCTCAAAAACATTTTGTGCTGGTACATCTGCAGTGTGGGTGAACCTCGAAAACATTTTGCTAAGTGAAAGAAGCCAGAGATACATAATCCATTTCTATGAAGTATCCAGAATAGATAGATCCATAGAGATAGAAAGCAGATTAGAGGTTGCACAAGGCTGCAGAGAGGAGAAAAGGGGGAGTGAGGTATTGGGAGTTTCTGTTAACGTGATGAAAATATTTTGGAACTGGAAGAGGAGGTGATGGTCGTACAACATTTTGAGCGTACTAAATGCCACTGAATTGTACTTTTTAAAATGGTTAATTTTAAGTTATGTGAATTTCATCTCAATTAAAAATAATTGCACAGCTTGAAGAATTTTCACTCCTTGGACACACTCGTGTAATCAGTACCAAACCAAGAAACACCAGCACCCACCTCATACAGGCCTTCCTCACGTTTCTTCCTGGACAAGGGTAACTTGAATTCTGACAGCATAGATAAGTTATATTTTTGCTTTGTGCCATGCACTGTGCTGAATTGTACTTTTTAAAATGGTTAAAGTATATCATGACAAGGACACATACTCGGTGTTGGCTGTTGATGTGTTTTATGTATAAGGAGTCAGAGCACATACTATTTTTATAATGAAAGATAACTAAAAAAAAAAAAAGTCATTACTCATGTGCTTCGATTTCTGCTTATACAGACCACCCCTCAGAGGTGCCAGAGAAGCTGATCCAGGATCGGTTCCGGAAGCTGGGCCGCTTCCCTGAAGCCTTTAGTTCCATTCACTACAAGGGAACAAGGACTTACAATCCCCCTACAGACTTCTCTGGGCTCCGGCGTGCCTTAGAGCAGCAACTAGAGAACAACACCACCCGTTCTCCCCGGCACCCAGGGGTCATCTTCAAAGCCCTGAAGGTCAGTTGGCTCCTGCCCCTAGTGCTTCTCATTGAGGTACCAGTGGGTGGTGAGAACACTCTGTTTTCCAGTTTGTTTGTTTTTTTTATTCTGGCGATTGGAAACCTCGGCTGGACAGAGAGGTGGTTCTTTAAGAAAAGAGGGCTAATGAGTGGAGATTGCACCTGTCAAATGCTCTTACCTTGCTAGGAGCATGAGTATTAAGGAATCTTGGGTGATAGTTAAAAAGTGAAGGGTTCA